TCATATGCTTAGATAAACCCAACTAATTTATAAACTAAATCAAGTATTCATGCCAAAATTGAGGTTTAACCAAAAATAAACACAAAATTTTGAGTTCGGCCGCCGGTAGTTGTAGTTTTAACTTTAAGCGTCCTAAATTCTCACGCAAGTTTCCGCGCGTGGAAGATAACTAGAATAACAATTACTTCCACCAAAAATAAAAATGTTTACTTAATAATTAGTAATTACTATCTTCCGTTGACGAAATTAAAATAAAATAAATAATGATTATAATTACTTCTTAAATTCACATACTCCATTTTCCACAGTGAATTAAATTCCGTTTTCCAAATCCATTAACTTTATCAGAACTTCAATCCCATCTCTGCTAATCGGTTCTTCGCCGGATTCACGTCGGAATCTTTTCCTTTTCCGATCAAATCAGCTTCTTCTGCAGGTAATATTCGAATCCGATTCTTCCTTCAAAAAATAATAATAATAATAATCTTTCGCTTTTTTTTTTCAAATTTTAGTTCAGTTAATGGTTTGGAAAAAGAAGATTCGTTTTCATTGGGAACAACTGTGGATTCGGTGCAGTTTAGTGAGCTGTGATCGGATCCACCGGATTATTTCCTGTGACGGCGAGGGATTTGTTACAGAGCTGATCTACGCAGTTTTTTAGCTGGTAATGGCTGGTTTAGTGCGTTTTTATTTTTATTTTTGGGATTAATTATTGTTTTTCAGTTCTGTGAGAACGGTGGAAATGGAAGGGGAAATGAAGGAAATTTGAAATGAGGGCTTGGTTTATTTTGTTTTATTTTTTGTACTCTGTAGAGTGTTTTGGTTGCTGAGAAAATCTAGGATTTGATAAGAGGGTGAATTTTTCTAAATGTCTATAGCAATCCAATAAGGTTGCCAAGAAAAGGGTGGGGGGAAAGGGGTGGGCTTTTAAGGTGTTTGTTAAGTTGATTGAGAAAATTATATATGAAAAGGGATAGAACTCAACTTGACTAAATTATTGAATTCAAAGTGAAAATTGAAGATTTAAAATTTTCATAATCTTTTTCGCTTGTATCCTGTAACATTTTGTGGCAAAAAAAAAAGTTCTTTTGACATTTCTTTTTGTTCTTTTAGGTTCATGTTCTGTTGTTAATTGATGAATATCAGTTAGTTTTCATTCTGTAATGCAATCAGTTGACTATAGCAAGGAAAGGAAGAATTTGAAGCGTGCCAGATCATTGTCTCCCTGCGATATGCCTGTAACTGACACCATTGCCATGCAAACTCTTGATGATTGTATTCTTTTTCCTCTTGAGGAGATAGTGCAATCCCCATTACCAGGATATGTTGCCCCTTCTTCTGTCTGTTTCAGTCCGGATGATAGCTTGATAGCCTTTTTGTTTAGTCCTGATCACACTTTGAGTAGAAAGGTTTTTGCTTTTGATCGCCATACTGGCAAGCAAGAGTTGCTCTTCAGTCCGCCAGATGGTGGACTTGATGAGAGTAATATTTCTCCAGAAGAGAAGTTGAGGAGAGAGAGGTCAAGGGAGCGTGGGCTCGGAGTAACCCGCTATGAATGGGTGAAGACTACTGCAAAGAAAAAAGCAATCATGGTGCCCTTACCTGGTGGGGTATGTTCATTGATTCCCTTTGTTAATGATTTAGTCATTAGCAGCAGGATATTCCTTCTCAAGGGGCTTTTTCAATCCAATTATACTGCATAATTCTCAAATATTTATTGTGTATGAGTTACTCAGCTTTTAATTGCCTATTATAGCCAAAAAGTAGGTTTTTTTCTTTTCCACAAGTTTACATTTTTAAATTTCAATTATCTTGGTTGATAAATCTAGTAAATATTCTTCCTTGTGCTAAGAAAACTATGTCTTCTAGGAGTTGTCGATTTAGTTATGTTGGTATTATCATGGATTTAAGTGAGTGAGTGTGTTGAATTTTCTCTTGTTTTGTTTGATCTGATTGTTACTGAATATATGTGAGTGTGTTTCATGAATACAACCATGTAGTTGAGTTGAAAAAATATTTTTGTTTCCTTTTAATTTCCCTGTTCAGGAATGCAGTCAGAGTTTATTTCGTTTTTACTGACATAATTATCTAAACTTGCTAGACCTCGAAAATTATCAATGCCACAAAGACCAGCATTTTTTCACTATTTGTGCAGTTCCAAACCAATCTTTTTATCTTGCCTTACTGATATCACCTCTCTGCTCAGGGCAAATGAAACACCAGCATCTCCTTTGCTTCCTCAGCCCTGCTGTTTATATTTATACCAAGACAAATTCTGATTCTATAGGCCAACACAAGAAACAAAATTTCTGATTCTATGGCCACAAACGCGAGTGTCTTCACTCTACCATTGTACATTTACCTTCAGTAGTTACTTTTTAAATACCATTAGCACAGATTTCAGCTCTACTATTTTATAAACCGCTAATACCATCCAAGTTTTAACTGCAAATCTGGTTACTAATACAACTTTGCAGTTACCAAACCAAGTGAATGGTTTGTTAATCAAAATTGTTTGTCATCAAAGAAATCAAAATTTTTTTCCCTTACTTTCCTCAGTTCGGAATTGAATCATATACATGTAGTTTTTTATATTCTTTGTGCTTTTTCTTCTTTTTTTTTGTAATATATATTTTTTCTAATTTTCTGGGCCTACTCAGTCAAGATGATTTGGTTTTTCTGTTGCAGATTTATTTCCAGGAGGTTCCTGGTTCAAAACCAGAGCTCAAGCTTCCAAGTACATCATCCTCACCCATTATTGATCCACATCTTTCCCCAGATTGTACCATGCTCGCTTATGTAAGAGATTATGAGTTACATGTCATGAATCTCTTATACAATGAGCAAACACAATTGACATCTGGTGCCGACGGGAATGTTGTGGTAAGTTTGTTTTTCTCATTTTTTTATTTAGAATAAAATGCTCTCTTGAAGCATTACATGGTGGTCTAGGTTACCCCATGACTTTAAACTCACCCAGGTTTCTGAAAGAGGTCCACCTCCCACAAAATAAATAAAAGACATCTTAATTATAAATAAGTTATAAATTCATTACTGCAATTGTCAGGAGACCATCTATCTGCATAAACACACTTGCATTTGTATATTAAGTTCAGGAAACTCTCTTTTTTTTTTTCCCTTCTGAAATGCAGTTCAGTTCCTTGCTTTGCATGTAAAATGGCTGTACAAAATACTGCCAGATATCCTTGGGGCTGCATCCCATGTGATTACATCAGTATCAATCTAACAAGGGTGTAAAATCTGATGGCATATATTTACCCTATACTACCCTGAAACATTCGCTTCAGGAAACTTTTATGGAACAATAATGATCATTACCAAACATTGGCCATAGAAAAGCAAAAGAGTCTCCTTTAGAAGTGTCTCTGGCCCCCTACCATGTCTGTATCCCTTAAACCTTACTGTTACACAGCTTAAGACTATTTAAAATACTGCTGCTTTTCATATTACAAATATTTGGATCAAGCATGCTACGGACGAACAAAACTCACTGATGTAGTTAACATGGTTTTGGACTTTGTGGCTGGCATGTGCATTTCCTTTTATTTTGTTAATATAGTGTTAACTCTGATATTTGGTGAATGAAGTATTGTGTGTTGTATATGACCTTTTTTCTTTTTCTTTTTTTTTTCCTTTGTATTGCAGACTCATGGCCTTGCTGAGTATATATCTCAGGTAAGACTTGTCTTCAATCTCCCTTTTTTGGTTCATTTATTTAACTTAAGAGATAAATTATTATGATTTCAAAATCAATCCCTGCTTTTGAAGGCCAAAGTCAATGCAAATTCTTTACATAAGTGTGGCAACAACTTGCCAACTGTTACAATTTACTATTGTTGCCAAATTCCTGCTGTGTCCGTACTTTTGCGCTTAGAATTTGGACCTTTTCTCACATTGAAAGTTTCCTTCTTGATTGCAGGAGGAGATGGATAGAAAGACTGGGTATTGGTGGTCACTTGACAGTAGATTTATAGCATTCACTGAAGTTGATTGTTCTGAAATACCCCCTTTTAGAATTATGCACCAAGGGAAAAGCTCAGTTGGTCCAGATGCACAGGAAGATCATGCTTATCCATTTGCAGGAGCTTTAAATGTAAAAGTTCGCCTAGGGGTAGTTTCTGTTTTGGGAAGTCCTGTCACTTGGATGGATCTTCTCTGTGGGGGTGCAAACCATGAAGAAGAATATTTGGGTAGAGTCAACTGGATGCCTGGAAATATTCTCACAGTTCAGGTTTTGAATAGGTCTCAGTCTAAATTAAAAATCCTTAAGTTTGATATCAAGACAGGCCAAAGAAAGGTTCTTTTGGTAGAAGAACTAGAACCATGGGTTAATTTACATGACTGCTTTACACCTCTGGATAAAGGAGTTACCAGATATTCCGGAGGGTTTATCTGGGCAAGTGAAAGAACGGGGTTCAGACATCTTTATCTTCATGATGTTAATGGGACTTGCTTAGGACCCATCACTGAAGGTGACTGGATGGTTGAACAGATTGCTGGCGTAAATGAGGCTGCTGGGCTAGTTTATTTCACAGGAACACTGGAAGGACCTTTAGAAACTCATCTTTACTGTGCTAAGTTATATCCAGATGGGAACACTACCTTGCAGCCCCCTGTGAGATTAACTCAGGGTAAGGGAAAGCATCTGGTGGTGCTTGATCATCACATGCAGAATTTTGTTGATATATATGATTCCCTTGATTCTCCCCCTAGGGTTTCACTTTGCTCCTTGTTTGATGTAAGCATAAACATGCCTCTGTATGACCAACCACTAACCAGTCCTCGACTTAAAAGACTTCAAATTGAGCCTCCTGAGATAGTTGAGATACAGGCAAAAGATGGGACTGTGTTATATGGAGCTTTATATAAGCCTGACATGACAAGATATGGACCTCCACCATACAAAACCTTGATCAGTGTGTATGGTGGTCCTAGCGTACAGTTTGTAAGTAATTCATGGATAAATACAGTTGACATGAGAGCGCAATTCTTGAGAAGCAAGGGCATTTTAGTTTGGAAGGTTAGTATTTCCTATCGACACCTTAAATTGCTACCTTTCTTCTCTTTAGTTTCTTTGAAGGTCAGTGCAGTCGCTCATCTAAATCTCATTTCTTATCATGTAGTCTTGTAGTGTACTGTCCACTAAACATGGTAATATGTGTTTCTGCATCCCTGAACTAATTTTATTGTGAATATAATGTCTGCAGTTGGATAACAGAGGAACTGCTCGGCGTGGACTAAAATTTGAAGGTTCTCTCAAGCACAATGCTGGACGTGTTGACGCTGAGGATCAGCTTATTGGAGCTGAATGGCTTATTGAACAAGGGCTAGCACAAGCCAACCATATTGGGGTTTATGGTTGGAGCTATGGTGGTTACCTCTCAGCCATGATCCTGGCCAGGTTCCCTGAGGTCTTTCGATGTGCTGTTTCTGGTGCTCCTGTTACATCATGGGATGGATATGACACATTTTACACTGAGAAGTACATGGGATTGCCTTCTGAGAATCCTGAAGGTTATGAGTACGGCTCTGTGATGCACCATGTGCACAAGATGAAAGGAAGGCTGTTATTGGTGCATGGAATGATTGATGAGAATGTACACTTTCGGCACACTGCAAGGCTTGTTAATGCACTTGTAGCAGCTGTAAAACCCTACGAGCTATTGATATTCCCAGATGAGCGTCACATGCCACGCCGTCATAGGGACCGTATTTATATGGAAGAGAGGATCTGGGAATTTGTGCAGAGAAACTTGTGAGGTAGCATCTTGTTTCTGTGTAATATACTGTTGTTGGTTATCACTGTTACAGACAATAAGATCGCATGGGGCTCATTACTCCTTTAGAGAGAATGGGATTTTTCTGCCCTTCAGATCAACTGGGGCAAGACAACTTCTCCTGTTTACAGAGTTCCTGAAGGACAACTGACCTTGTTGGTCTGGTCTGGTCTGGTCTGGTCTGGTCTGGCAAATTATGAAAACCAGAAACTCTGCAAGAGTCGCCTTTGGATGAACTCAGGATTTTGATTGTTTTCTAGATTCCAGATAACTACCTTTTTGTAGGGATGGCAGACGCTTTTGTAAAATTGCCACATTATTAGCAATAATATGCCTACTTTTGAATTTATTTCTAAAATATGTTTCTTGGTTAACAAGGGTATTGTCTAGGGATGAAGTGATACAACTGAAATTCTTCGGAAGTTTTTGGATCAAATCTTCCTTTCATAAAATGTGAAGTCGAATTGGGTATAAAAGCTTCAAAATCTTATTTCAGGGTTCATATTGGTTCTCTTGTTAATCATGCTTAGTAATTTTTTAGAATATTACTTTGGTAATATCATCAGTCAACATCAATTTAGTAAAAAATAAATCATTTAAATTAAAATTAAAAAATTTATAAAAAACTATTTTATAAAATAACTTCTACAAAGAATGAAATCTTACTAAAAATGGTGGGAAGTAAAACCCTTACTAACTAGTGGACCATTATCATCATTCATTAATTAAAATTCAATTTGAGATTGCTAATCTCATTAATACTAATTACGTATTTCTATTTTTCTTAACCAGCACGTCCTAACATTCTGTTTACCAAATTAACTGCTTCAAACATTAAACCCCTAAACTTTCGCCCAAATTCATCCACATCGGATTAGTAGGGCACTAATATAGATACAGAAAAGAGAAACAGTTTCGTCGTCTTATGTGAAATACACATTTTATAATTATTAATAAGTAATTAACTCTTTAATACGAGAATATGCTAGTGGTTTAGTGATCATAATCTTGTTGTAAGGGTTTCTTATATTATGCTTACTTAGAGATGTGGAGTTCAAATTTCATTCCTAACATTCAAAAATTGATCAAATGAGTCATTAAACCAAAGGGTTAGTTCAGTGATGAACTCTTTAATATTGGCTAGTTTTTAATCATTAATAATTGTAAAATATGCTGTTTGGAATGTGAATTCGCCAAACTGCAAACCATATAAATACCCAGCACATTTTGGATTTTCCCAAAAACAAACTAATGTAAAGCTTGGAGGGAAATACACACTCTATTTACTTTCATCATCATTCTGCTGAAATTCTAGTTTCTTCAGGTTTGGTTCCTATTTTTCTTTATAGTTTTTGTTGCCAAACATCCTACATTGCTTTTTACAGAGTGTTTGGGTGCTGAGAAAAGAGAACACAAAATTCTAGTGCTTTTTCTTGAATTCATCTGGCAGGATTTGGGTTACTTTTTTGTTGTTGTTATGATTAGGAATTAGGAATTTTGGATTTTAGTTTAGTCTCTATGTCTAATAGAACAGATTGGATTGGTTCTTCTTTCTTTCTTTTTACTGTAAATCAAAAGCAGAAATGAATTTCAGAATGTTTGATTGCAAGAATTTAATTAATTGCAGGGAGCTTGAATTCGAAATTGTTGTGAAGGCATTCAGACCATTTCACATATACCTGAGGAGCTAAGTAAAACCCTTTTCTTTTGTCAATGATATCTTGCATTGTCAAGGAGCCCCAGGGACTTCCAAAGTACTAGGAATCTGAAAGAAAGAACCTTTATAGTTATTGTGGTTTCTCACAGTTCTTATGTGAACTGGTTTTCTGGCTGGCAGGCTTCAGGCTTTCCAGTGTAACCTCTGAAAATTTAGGAGTTTTAAGTCAGATTCAGAGTTTGCAAAATTCATAGTTTATCAACTAGGCACAGGAGATATATTACTTTAGGAAAATAAAAAAATAAAAAAATAAAAGTCTATTTCTACTGTACAGCTTAGTCCAGTGGTTGAAGACTCTCTAAGTATACCTGTAATTTCTCCTGCCAATATGGCCGGGCTTTTGGCAACTCAATTTTGATTTTTCTCTCTGTTGGCGGCTCTGTGATACCGATGCATATAATGGAGTCAGATTCAATTGCTTCTGTGAACATGAGGATTTAGAAAAACAAAGGATTTTTTGTGAAGAAGCAGAAGTTGGTTTTTGAAGGAAGGGAACTGTCTGGAAACAACTCGTGTGCAGACTATTGGGTTGCAGATGGGAAAATAATGCATTTAGTAGTAAGGCATTTACTGTTAAGATTGTTTGTGGAAAGGAGTTTTCATTTCATGTTGAGAGAGGTAAAAATGTGGGTTATGTTAAGCAAAAACTTGTTAAGAAGGGAAAAGGGTTTGTTGATCCCAAGGATAAACAATTGACATGTGATGGTGAGGAGCTTGAAGATCAGAGACTGATTACTGATACAGTGATACCTGCAAGAGCACAGATACCGTGATCCACTTGCTGGTTCGAGAATCTGCTAAAGTAAGGACCACACATAATAAACAAGATTGTGATTATGAAATGTGTATTGAGGCATTAAATTTGAATGAGAAGAATCTTGAGAAGGGGATACCATCTATGGAGTGCCAGGTCTTACAGAGGAAATTGTGGTGCAGTCACGGAGATTTGATTTTGGAGCCTCTAATTGTCAATTCCATGATCGAACTGCCATTTACTTTGAAAGAACTAATTGACTTAACTTTTGATGGGTTAGAAAGTGGCAATCGGCCAATTCAGTCGTCAGAGGGGTCTGGTGGTGTATATTTCATGCAAGATTCATCTGGTCAGAAGTATGTTTCTGTCTTTAAGCCTATTGATGAGGAACCAATTGCTGTTACTAACCCATGAGGCTACCCTTGTCAGAATATGGTGAGGGACTGAAGAAAGGTACGCGTGTAGGAGAAGGAGCATTTAGGGAAGTTGCAGCTTACATATTGGATCACCCAATGGCTAGAACATGTTCATTCTGTAATGAAGAGAGGGACTTTTCTGGTGATGGTGAAGTGATTGCACAAATATGCTCTCAGGAGTGTGAAGATTGGGTCACTGCAGATGTTTGTGGAGAATATTGGAAGCTGTGAAGACATGGGCCCTCGTGCCTTTTTCATTTGGATGAGGTGCACAAGATCTGTGTGTTGGACATAAGATTGGCAAACGCCAGTAGGCATGCAGGGAACATTCTGGTTGCAAGGGACAGAAATAAAGGCCATATTGTGCTTGTTCCAATTGACCAGGGCTACTGCTTGCCTGAGAATGTAAGAGCCTTACTTTCTTTCTTCTGTCTCTTTACTAGATATGATTCTTTTTTTTAGAATTCTGATTCTTCAAATTAATTCCTCTTCTGGCTGCTCACCATGTTTCCATCTTTCTTGGGATGTTCACGATAATAGATTTTGCTAATGTTACATCGTAAGTTATGTCCTTCATTTGTTTTGCTTCTTGAAACAAGCCCTTTTCCTTTTAAGGACTAGTTGTCATGTTGCGAATCAATGTGGTTGCTAGGTCCAGTTCTCTGCGGCATCCTATTGCATTTGCAGGTGCAGTTTTATGCATGAAACTCAATTAAGAGCTTCTAGTTATGTTTACAGTGTTTCTGTATATAACATAGATAATGAGACATCTAGGCAAGTGCATTGATTTCACATCATAATCATCATCTCATTTTCCCTTGGCTCTGTAGTGCAGTGCTTAGCTTTCAAAATTGAAAGTAGTCTAACAATTGAAAATTCTCCTTACTTTTTGATAAGATTTTATTTGATATTTGTGATCTTCTTCAATGAGAATTTACCCTACAATATGAACTCCAGTTGCCAGACCTTAAAGCTTCTATCCCCATTATTGTCTTTAACCTTCACATATTTTCTCCTTTTTACTGCAGTTTGAAGATTGCACATTTGACTTCCCTGCCATTATTGACCACATCAAGTCACTGGATGCTGAACAAGCAATTGAACTATTGAAGTTTCATGGTTGGGACTTGCCACCTTCCTGTGCCCACACCCTTTGTATTTCCACCATGCTTCTAAGAAAGGTGCCCAAAGGGGACTCACAACCCTTGCTATAGGGAGCATCATGTGCAGGGAAACATTGAAGGAGGGGTCTGTTATCGAGCAGATGGTTCAAGATGCAGAAGAAGCTGTTCTCCCAGGAACAAGCGAAAATGCATTTCTTGAAGCTTGGCAACAATCATGAATCATCATCAAGTTGAACCTGGGCCATCAGTCAATTGAGCATTCGTAGGTCTATCAGACTATCAGTATATGTTCACATAAGCTAGGCGCAGAAAGAAAGATGGATGATGGGGTGCTTGGTACGTTCCTTTTTAATGAACTGCAGGTTCTTCAGTTACTGGAACTTGTATGGTACCTCCATTATCTGCTTCACTTTGTTTATAAATACACCAAGCACTGTGCCTGAACTCGTACTCTGGGTACTCTAATTTTTGTCTAACAATGTATGTTTCTCTTTTGTGGTACTGGTATACTCTTACAGCTTGGTATATACATAATGATTGTAGAATTCTGTTAGAAGGGAATAAATAAAGCCAATAAGATTGATTTAAGATAAGAGATGTGAGATTCAGAATGTGTGGGGGCAGAATTTGAAAGATTACTATATATCAGTAAATCGTGTGCTTCAGACTAGGGGAGCCATTACATCACAGTTCACCATCGTAGCTGTCTTGTGTCTCAGCACCAGCAGTCAGCACTTGAAAGCCGCCGTAACTACCCACTTCCCACTTCCCACTTCCCACAGTAAGTAGCAGCCCCAGTCTAGCACCTCTATTTATTTAGACACTAAAGCACAAACCAATTAAATGCTGAGCTTGTATGGTTGAAAAGTCTCATTCCTTTAAATCTTATTCGTTTACAAATAATTTCAATCAATATCACCCACAATCTAAAAACATAATTTATAAGTATTTATAAAACTAATTAAATTAAACTCTACATTTTTTAAAAATTTTATACATGATTCGTTTATTACAGTATGAATAAAGGTGTTCCATTCATACCGTTGAGTTCAATCTCCCTTATCCATATTTCTTCTTTCTTACCCTAAATTCCCATAGTTCCCAAAAAAAAAAAAAGAAGAAAACTCTACACTTCCGATGTGGGATCCAATTTCAATCCGAAAAGAATAGAATCTTTTGAAGACTGATGACTTTATCATTGAGTCAATGTTTTTATCAGCGGCACATTTCGAGTTTGGCAAGTTGGTGCCTGTTTCCCAATCCAAAAGAAAATGTTATAAATCATCAACACGACAAAAATTAACAATTCATGAACATGTACAATTGCACATGACCCAGAAGAAGACCGATCTCGAACCACAATTTCAAAAAAGTACTCTAGTGCCGGCCAATTTTCTAAAACCTCCTTGTCCACAAACTAGTGCGTCGACCCAACCGTCAATTCCATCCTTTTATCTCCAACTTTTCTATTCCACACCGACACCTATAAAATAAACTTAAAAAGAATCTAATCTAAATCCTCACCACTTTATTTAAAGTTGGCAGTTTCACCAACTCCCGACTGTAATTATAACTATTCATAATTTCTTTTTTTGGTTAAAGTTACATTATTTTATTATTAAAAATAATTAATAATTAGTAAAT